AGTGCTGCATTCAACATACTGCGTGACACACAAAAATTGATGTTTATCTGTGTTCTTTTAAATACTTACTTTTAAATTAAGAAATTAAGTGATGTATAGTTCTAAAATTTGAATTATAATCTACAGTTTGGTACCAAATTTACTGACATAAATTCATGAAATAATAGTTCAATAAAATTTTGAATCTGAGTCAACAAATGAGATGACGTAGCCTTTCACTTGTGACCTGTCTCGAAATGGTTAATATTATTACCTGACCACTTGTTCATTGCCAGAATTTGGGTTACCCAGAAGAATGATTGGCTGTTTTCTTCAGTCACTTTCCCTTACCTTTCTTCTCTGTATGATCTTTCAGACCATGCTCATTTCCTTTGTGCTATATGGGCAGCTATTTTTTTTTATCTTGTTTGTATTCTCACCATAGCAATCAACAAATTTTTTTTACTATAAGATTCCTCTTCCTTTCATGACTTATCTCCTTCCACTTTGATCAGTTAAGTTAAATAGCTCAACCAGCCGGGTCATTCTTCTGTGGTTGTTGACAATTTTCCTCTTTTTTTTTTATGGCTCCTCCAATCAGCTCCATCATCTCCTGGCTTCTCTTGCCTTTAGCCATCATCATCCCCTATATTAGATCTTGCAGGCTGGGATTTAGATGAACCCTGACTCTTTTTTTTGTTACATTACTTACACCACATTACGATTTCTTTTACCTTTCATTTTCTTCCTTCAGTCACCATTTTTTATTCTCACAGAGTCTCCAAGAAGGTGAGTTGTTCACTATTTCTTTCTTTTTCTTGTAGGTCCCAAAACCACCAATGCAAATTCTTCCCTCCTATTTTCTTTTAGTAGTGTAAAAGGAGAACCATTGCTTTCCTCGTTCCAAGCCACTGGGGAGGTTGATATGGAAAGTTTCCCTTTGAAGGAAACCCACTGGCATGGAACAGTTGGAAATAACTCATGAACTGAAAGCTGGGCTTGTGTGTTACCTGGAAGTGTAGTACAGGCCACCCAACTGCACTTTGAACCAAGCCATTTCTGGTGGTTAGGCCAACAAGATGAGTCTTGCATTCAATTTGAGAGACAGGTATGGGATGTTTTCTCTCTCCACACCTGATTCTTCTCATACATTTTTCATGTAAGTATTTCTCACATATTGTATAGTGTGACTTATTTGCCCTTGTCTACTACCTATGATATAATGGCCAGTTGAGCAATCTTACATTCTGCTCACCTATACAACACTGTAACAATAGCAACACAGAAGGTTCTTTTAACATTACCTTTTGCTTTCTTGCCTGTATTGGACAAAAAGTTTTCCCTGCACGAGAAGGATGTGGTCTCTCATCAAGTGATGCCCCACTAGGCCTCATCATACTAGTTTATGATGGGCTCCATGAATTTTCCCTTTCTGGGGTGCTATAATTTCAGAAAGGAGCTCATATTTTTATTTCCTTTATCTAAACTAGGCCATCCTCCATCTTATCAGTGTGGGATTCTAGCTCTTAATTCTGTGGAGAGGTGAGTAGTGTTTATGACATTAACATTTTCCATACCTAAAAATGTATTACGGATAAATATTCATCTCTTCACAGAACTTCCTACCTTTCCTCTCCACTTCCAGTGTATTTCTTTTGCCTCCCCAAGAATAAACCTTTGTTGAAATACTAGTGCTCATGGTTTTTACTGCACATGGAAGATGTGTCACCCTCTATTGGTGGAGAACTATAGTTTAATGATGATTACATCATAGGCTGTTACCAAACACACTAATAGGTGTAGGGATGGGATTTTGTTCAAGGCTTGTGGCATGAACAAAAAATATTAATTTTATCGAGTGGTGAGTATCTTTCTGAAATAAATTTTGAAAGAAGGAAAATGTTAACTTCAGTTTGGTCATATAGGCCATTTAATTGCACAAAAAATGAGGAATATGCAAAGCATTTGTATAATCTTCCTCATAAGTTTTTTATTGATGAAAATACAAATCAGCAACTTGTAAACCGTAGTTGGTAGCTACAAGTGTTCTGTAAACTGTAGTTGGCAGCTACAGGTGTTCTGTAAACTGTAGTTGGCAGCTACAGGTGTTCTATAAACCGTAGTTGGCAGCTACAGGTGTTCTATAAACCGTAGTTGGCAGCTACAGGTGTTTTGTAAACTGTAGTTGGTAGCTACAGGTGTTCTGTAAACTGTAGCTGGCAGCTACAGGTGTTCTGTAAACTGTAGCTGGCAGCTACAGGTGTTCTGTAAACTGTAGTTGGCAGCTACAGGTGTTCTGTAGCTGCTGAAAGATATTTTAGCCAAATTGTAAAAAAAGTGTTGAGAAGGAAGAATACAACTTTTGAGTTTTAATAGGTTCTGTCTAATATTTTGTTTCTTAAAATATATATATATATATATATATATTTGTACATATTAGGTGGTTCTGTAAAATTTTCTTTTACTTCCTATTTCCCTGAATGAGTGCAATAACTAATTTTTCGCTAAATGAGGCGGAGTAATTCAAAGTAGTTGAATTTAATTCAATTTTTAGCTAATTATATGTATTTTGTTTTATTCATTGTTTTGATTTTTAATTATATGCTATGCTATTGTACTAAAGTATTAGAAGAAAATTTTTGAAGGAAAATATTTTGTTACAATTTCCTAATTCAAGCATCTCGGTGCAATTAGCCCATTATATCAAACTGTGCTTTCTCTATGTATATGGTATTTCCTATTTAAATATAGAATTAATTTTAATATTCTTCTAACAAAATGAAACAATTTATTATTGAACTTTTACTATTATAAAATAATAACAGTACTCTTCATTTGCATGTTTCTATTGCTTAGAAAATGTGAAGTTGTCTCAAGTAATTTTTCTCTTTAACATGTTTCAACTTTTTTTTTAACACTTTAGGTTGAAGGTGTTTATAGCAATGCAAGATTCATGCATGGTGCTGCTTCTCTTGTGGTATGTTTTTTCATGTACTATGTATAATTGCATTTTGACCAGTTTTCCAAAACTTGGGTATTTACAGTGTTTATTTCTGTAGAAAATTGTTTTACATTTTTTATTGATTTTGTCTTTGAAAAACTGTATTAAAACTGTTGTAAAACTATTCATGTTGAATGAATGTCTTTTGGTGTTATTTTTTTAATAAAGTTTTGAATTCCACTTTGTTTCTGTAACTTAATATGTACCTTTTATTATGTAGAATTTCATGTTGATGTTTTTGTTTTAAATATAAGTGTAAGACTATTTCTTTAATATTCTGGTTACCTGTTTGTTAAATTTTGCTGTTTCCTGAACTATAGATTTTTACTCTTAAGTTGTTATTATTATGAATAAAATTGTCAAATGAAAAAGTGTTTTTAATAATATGATAAATTGGGAGTGTGATTTTACTTCTATGTACTGAGAGTTGAATTCATTACCATTAGATAATGTACATAGCCCAGCAATATCATTCCATGTGTTGAGTATGGAGGTGTCAACTTTTTACTTGGTAACTATTTGAAATCTTTATAGGTCCATGATCATCTCTTAGTAGGTAAATTTGTGTGTGTATATATATCAGGTCTCAAAATTAGTGGGGGCTCGGGTGCCAATGGTCCTAAAAAATGCTGCTGATCCCATATAAAGTGTCTGCTAGGTAGCTCGTGTGGCCCCTTAAAATCAAAAGAGCAATTAAAAGTGTGACTCTACATAAATTGATCTAAGCATTTCATAACAGATCAGAACTTATGATAAACCATAAATGGACCTTCCCAATGTTAAGAACACTCGTAAGTCGAACAGTCCACAAACGTTGTCACTACGAATGCCCATGTATTCAAAGTAAATGCACTTTCTTTAATAAGAATGCCATCACTTTGTCCAATATCCATACTTTTTGTATCAGTGTAATAAAATTTCTTTTATTAAAAAATTGAAATATAGAGTGATTATTTGAACTTTTATAAAGATGACTACTGTTTTCAATCAGAATGCTACTTTTGAACTTTTCATATATGACACCAAGCCTGCATCAAGGCTCATACATTTGAAATATGTACATACAAGTTGTTTTTTTTAACACTTTCCTAAAATAGACTTCTAAAATTTGCAAACTTGTAAGTTGTTTGGAGAATCTACCTTACTGCAAGTTATGGCAAACACTTTTGAATCCAACTTTGCAGACTGTACTAGCCAAAAAACAACAACATAATATTACTGTTCCACTGATCATGTCACAATCGGAAATCATTGATTGCTGATAATTATAGAGCACAATTGGCCTGATTCCGATTGGCAATGTCATTGTGTAGTATTGTTGACTGCTCAACCTTAAACATTTTAATGACTACAGAGAATGTACTTTCATGCTTCTTTAAATTTGAAATGATTGAAGTTATCAATAAATGTGCCATGAAAAGTAAAGTCACAATCTCTTTCCCATTTTTAATTGAATGAGTGAAAAATATAAATGGGGACTGACCGTGTGATCAGTACATGAACGATACATAACTTTATGTGACCGTTGTGAGAGTCAAACAAACTATTGAGATTCATTGCCTAAATTCCTCATTTACTTTAGCCATAAGTTCAAAGACTTGCTGTCATTCTACACATTTTGAACTAAACCGCTTTCTGAACCAAATGAAGTATTCCAGTCAAAAGTCAAATAAAGTGACAGCGTTTGAAAGTTTTGTTTGTAAAGAGAGGAATCATCAAACTGGTTGCCAAAGATTTACTTCTAAATTTGCCTTATTAAAAAATGCTCCTAATTGTATCTTTATTGCATACATAATGGTCAATTTTCCAACCTAGGAAAAAGAAATGACAACTTTAAATGCATTATGCTAAAAAAAAGACCCAGATTGTGCTGGTGGAATTATTAAGTTTATCACCTCCCGGCTGAAAACACTTGCTTTCATCAAACGTGTTTCAAATCTCAGCACTTACAGTGTGTCATTTTTGACATTTGTCTGAAGTCATGAAATGTTAGGTTTTACTGTCGATAAAGACCTATACACTCCCCTGTTGGCTACAGGGGCAACAGGCAGTCTGTTATGACAGTTACCCACTTTTATGATTTCTTGTTTATCAACCATTTGCTTCCTACTCAAAAAACCCAAAATATCTAGTTTTCTCATTCAGAAGCAGTCCAACTAATCAGCAATCACATTTGTTGAGCCACAACTAACTTTAAGGTAACTTCTTGGAACTATGCAGATTCCTAAATAATGGGACAGTCAAATGATGAAATGGAATGTTCCATAACTGTCTAATAGGTTAGTTGTTTTTGTAAATATTTGTATACACCTTGTATACAATTCAAACAATTGACAAAAAAAACCCTATTGGAAATTATGGGACATTCCAAATTTCTAATTGCTCTGTTGTCATGCGCTCTTCGGCTACTTCTCCAAACATTTTTCATTTTGGAGTGATATAAAGCTGTTATTGACTTATTTCTTAAAAAAAGTAGGCACATGCACAAAATAAACGTTTTAATTGGAGACCCAATTGTAATGAAACTTTGTTAGGAACTTCCCCTTAAGATGTTGAAAAATCTTGGGAAGTTTCATCCAAATTGGACCTAAACTGTGGGTGGACAGACAGACATTAGCCTCTTATGTATATAGATAAAAAACATTTAAATGGTCTGAAATAAAATGGTTTGACTTTTTTTTTTTATGAAATCCAAGTTCACAACAAAAGAAATTGAGATATGTTGATACCTTTAGTTTCCTTTCATTTCATGTAACATTCATCGATTTTTCTTATGACCTCCACTGTAGAGTACATTTTACAATAAGCTATAGGATTGGCCCCAAAACTGCTTGCAGCCCCTTAAAAATGCATATTTTGGGGGCCTGGCTGGCTCCCTAAAAATATAAAGTTAAGCATGAGTCCTGTATATATAGACATGCACACCTTATGTAGAATTCCTCTGTGTCATTGTGCCATCTGACCAATGAATAATATCTTAATAATGTACTTATGATGTTAGGAAAATGCATAGGTTCAGAAATCATTTAAAGGCAAAACATATGAAACCCTATAACCTGAAACTGTTCCAAAGGTGGACCTTACTTCATCAGAGGCACACTGGAATGACTAATTAAAGTGAAATCTGAGAATTGGTGGAGTGACATCATGGTAGATAACCAAGACAAACCAGAAATGTTTTGATTTGCTTTCAAAGGGTTGTTGCAGGTGTGATTTTTTCTGTTATGCAAAATGACCGGAAAAAAAAAATGTTTGATGTAAAGAGGTTAGAAAGGTTTTCTTTAAAAAAGAAAAGTCAACACCATATAAAACATATTCTACATACTCTCTCTTTTCACCTAAAGTACATGACTTACTTTATAAATATCATAGAGGAAGTCAGTCCTAACAGACTGTTACCTCGTAACAGTCTTCTGTGTACAGTGGATATTAAATCCCCATATACTAACTTTCTACTTGAAATTCTCTAATCTGTATATTAAAAGGTTAAAATTCAAGGGACTGTGTATATATTTAAAATATTAAAATCCACAAATGAACAACATTTTATAATACACAATTAAAATCTGGCTCAACCAAATAATATGATTGCTAGATATATTAGAGAAACCATTGAAATAATGAAACACAGCAAAAACAACTTGATCTTAAATAAGGAGGAAGGGTTAGAAAATCAGAAAGTATTTAGGTGTCATGATCTACTTTTTAAATTGTAAACTAGTGTCATATGACCATGGCTTTTGTATTTATATAGCACACAGTAACTGTTTTTCACACTCTTGAAGATGACAGGAAACCATGTTGAAACATGTAGTGTCATTTACAACCATTGATCAGTTTAAATGAAATATTTTAATTGTGTATTATAAAATGTTGTTTGTTTACGGATTTTAATATTCTCTAATGTGCTCTAAACTTTCCAATCAGATTCTCTGATAATTTCCCTTTCCTTTGAGGAAAATGCACAGAGACTTGTCTAGTTTTTGATACTTTAGACATTCAAGATACTTATCATAAGGAGTCTATAATTCTGGGCTACCCAGGTCTATCTTAGTTTTTGTGGGTTTAGCTGTTTTTCAGTTTTATGTACACTCATTTGATCTTCTCCAGAGAATACTGTAAAATGTTTGATGGCCATGTTGCATTGTCTGAATTTCCACAAATTGTGACAAGGTCTGTGTTATGCTACTTTTCAGTTATGTGCTTGCTACATAGCAGTCAACTCTCACTCAGACAGGATTTTCCCAGATGTGTGGGTTTTTCATTCACAGACCTTCTGGTGGGTATGTTAGAGGTATTGGAGATCCTCCTCAACTAACCCTGTGGAGATGTGCTCATGTATTTTACATGATCTTGGAACTACCATGATAATATACATACTACTATTATGAAAGTACTTAATTTATCTTTACAAAATTTGACAAACTTTTACTAAACATTACAAGTCTTTGGTACACCAAAAAATCAGATTTTTCTATTAAGTATTTTTACTAAAGAGTTATCTGTGAATATATGAAGTAAAAGGGTAGACTGTTTTGATAAAGTGATTTTCATGTTAAGATTAAAAATACTTTTCTTTTTCTAAAAATTTTCAAAACCATTTGCATAACTTCTAAAACCTCCTAAATAAATATAACTTTTTTTTTCAGTAAAACTTTGTATTTCATGTATATTCTCTATCCTTACTCTATATGGAATTGGTTGATTTGTCCAACCTTGTAACCACCATGAAAAGAAGAAAAGAAATATATCAAACTACCCTTTTGTTCTTTCTTCAACGGCTGTAGATTGTAATAGAAAACTACAATTGTTTATCTTAAATAGCTTAAAGTTTATAACAAAATATGTCTGTTTCTATTTAATTTTGTTTTATTGCCTATTGAACTGTGTTTAATTAATACTCTAGCCATACAACTTGTAAATCACTTGGTGAATGTGTAGCTTGCATACCATATTAAATGAAATAACATATAAGCTGCTCTTGAGTGTACAAAAAAAATGACATTGTTAGTTACAAAGATAAGGGAAATATTATGCAGTGATTAGATGATTTTTACTGTAGAATTAAGGTGGATGATATTGATCTTAATAGTCAGCAATGATTAAATTATTTAATGTGGCAAAAATGTGGAAAGGTGTGGCCTTAAAGCATATTGAAACTTATTGGGCTGTACTGCTTACCTTGGTAGCAGAATTGAAATTAACAGAATATTTTGTATATCTATTTTTATATTAGGCAACTATTGTACTTTTCAAAAAAATCTTAATAAAGGTAATACATTCAAAATTAATGAAGTTGTGTGGCATTCAAGTTCAAATTATATATGTGTTACTTATTCCTGTAAAAACAAAAAAAAACAGTCCATAGCTTAATGTTAGCACAAAGGAAAGTGTTAAATAGCATCCAGTTTTATTTCTAATTAGAATAAAATTAATAGTAAACTAAGTTTTCTCAAATAAACTTAAAAAACAGCAAGAAAAATTTAGTTTTAATACTGTTTTTAATATCATACAGTGACTAAGTTCATAAAATTGATAGAATATTAACAGTAATAAAATCAACTTTGTTCATTGCTTATTTGCACAGGCTAAACAGTTATAGCCATGTTTCTTTTTCCTTTTTATACAGTAAGCACCAGTTTGGATAGAAATATCAGATATTCTCAATTAAAGATTGTTCCCAGCATTTTTTGGCATTTAACGGATATGATATAAGTACAAAGACATATTTCTTGGAAAGCTTTTACTAACCAATAACACTGTTTTCTTGTACAAGGAAAAATTGTGATGAAACAAATTATTTTTTGACATTGTTTACCAAAAATGTGTTTTAAAATGCTCTTGTGTCAAGTTAAATCAGTTAGCTTCAAAATTGCCCTAAGTAGGGCTTGAAACTAACTTTTTTTTTTGGCACTGGTGTTTTTCTGTTACTTTAAAAACTACTTACAGAAGTGCCAGCTACTGGCAAAAACAGCAACAAAAAAGGCTCACAAGTTGCATGCCATTAGTGAATATAATTAGGCAGATGATGTGAATTTATACTGTCACGTTCAAATTATGTTTATGACAATAACTACATTTCTTAATATGAAAGTAAAATAATATATATAGTGAAAAAAAAACTGAAACACCACTTGAACTCACCTTTTTTTAGTTGCTCTTTTAAATTTTGGGAATCTCATTGAAAGATACATGAGAATCATGTGCAACAAGCTACAGGAAAAGGCTTAATGGTTGGTGATTATAGTGTGATTTGCTTCATAAATGTTATGCTTACAGACATTAAAAAAAAATTGACTATTATTTACCACTGGTCTGAGTATTCATAATCATACTTAGATTATCAACTGGCAAAAAAAAACATACCAATTACTGGTTATGGTCATTGGCTTTTTGTTAGCTAGTTACTACTGATTTACAGCCTTGTTATTTTAGAATTTGATTCTGAGTAACTAATTTGTTTTTTATTTAGGATGTTATATTGTTTATTACTATGAGTAGACATTAAAAAAAAGCTTCTTAAATATGTTTAAAAGTTTCCAGTGAATATATACCAGCATTGCTGAGTACAATGTTATGTACTATAAGCACCCACATCTTTTATTACTCTAAATATTTTGCACTGTTCGGAGTATGTACACATATGTAGAAGATACATTTAAGTCTGATTGTATACATTTGTCCACTTCTGCAGATATGCTAATAACAACATTGATTTTAAAGATCTATTGTAATCTGAACCTAGGTGTTGTTTGTTTTGTTTTTCTTTCAGCATGTTTTAACTTTGATGTAGGTTTCATTTAAGTATATACATATGTATGCAAGTTTTGAATACAGTATATGTTTAGCTCTGCAGTTAGTAAATGTTTCTACTTGCATGTAGTGATGCAGTTAAATTGAGATTTTTTATGGCTTAGTTAAAAATTTAACAGCACAATTCCTAAATAACGGTTGTATATACTATCAAGTATAATGTACCTGCAATTACATTGCATGATTTTTACTACGATTTTTTTCATTACTTAGAACAATTCTTGTTTTATCTGTAAATTACAGGGTTGCATTGTGCAAGTTCAAGTGAAGAATGGAAATCTCATTGAAGGAATTTTTAAGACATTTTCTCCAAAGGTAATGCTGCATTTGTGCAAGAAAATATTATGTTGAATTATATTTTACAATAGATGAAATTAAATATAGTAATAGGAAAACAATGTTATGTAATTATTGACAAATGTCTGTAAAACTAGATTGTATGTGTACCATATTTTTCGGAACATAAGACACACCCTTATTTTGAAGACAAAGTTTTGGGGAAAAAAGCTACAGTTGC